TTTTTCATTAAGGCTACAAAACCAGTTCTCAGCTAGATGGTCAATTTGTTATTTTTTCCCATGACACCTAATAGCCTCCTACTATATGCAAATAAACAGAAAAAAAAATTTCTAGATCCCAACTTCTTTAAGTACAGCAATCTTTCCTGCCATCTATAACACAAAAGGTTAATTTGATAAGAATGTTGAAATAAGCTAGTCTAAGATCTGTAGAGAGATTTTTTTTATTAATTTTCAATAAAAAGATAGTATCAACACATGATATATTTTACCTTGAAAAATATTCCTACCTCGGTCAAGTGAAAAGGCCTAGAAACAGTGACTAACCCAGTAGCAAGGCAAACCACATTATGATTCGGAAATACCAATGACCACCAAAAGGATCTAGGACCCCTTGAAAAAATGACTGGTTCCATATCTGGGGCAAGAGACAGACAAGATAAGCCTGGAATATCTTATCTTCCATCTTATTATAGCATATAGTATCTTGTCATAGTCTAGCCAGGCAGCTATCATAGACTATGACAAGATAGGATAATTTCAACATCGATAAAGATAGTAACTGAAATGGATTACATAGTGTGTTTAAATCCACATAATAAAGTAGAAAAACAAAACAAAACAAAACCTAATTGACCACAACTGGAGTATGCTAGTGAACCAAACCATTATTTTGAACTTGATAAATAAAGGGAAATAATCAGCATTTATCCTGCTTTTAATGTACCACTGGTACAGTATATGAACCATACCACTGGGTAACCAAATAGACAAAGAGAAGTTTCTCCTTATAGAACTATTTCATATAATAAAAGAAGGAATGACAGCATCATTTTTCAATCTCTAGTTAGCCAGACTTACACAATTGAGCAGCAACGGCTGCTAACATTACAAAGAGACACAGACAAAGACATTATATGCCTCCTGATGAATGAAAACACCATCACTTACGATGTATTCTTGCTCCCCCCCAATCGAACCTCTCTGACCAACACTTATATTTAACTACTGGTTTATGACAAAGAGAGAAGACAAAAGAATATATCAAATTATTTCACAAAGATGCAACATCAAAACTCAATCTGTAGGAAACTACAAGACAAGTGATTCTGTTTTGTCAACAATGAATTATAAAAAAAAAAAAAGAAGAAGAAAAGAAATTTAAAGATCAACAAATAGCAATGTGTGGGCCAGGCGCGGTGGCTCATGCCTGTAATCCTAGCACTCTGGGAGGCCGAGGCGGGTAGATTGCCCAAGGTCAGGAGTTCAAGACCAGCCTGAACAAGACCGAGACCCCATTTCTACTAAAAAATAGAAAGAAATGATCTGGACAACTAAAAATATATATATAGAAAAAATTAGCCGGGCATGGTGGCACATGCCTGTAGTCACAGCTACTCAGGAGGCTGAGGCAGGAGGATTGCTTGAGCCCAGGAGTCTGAGGTTGCTGTGAGCTGGGCTGACGCCATGGCACTCACTCTAGCCCGGGCAACAGAGGGAGACCCTGTTTCAAAAAAAAAAAAAAACCCACACTATTCCATGGCTGATCGGATACATTTTTTAAGTGCCCTACAATTGAAATGATTAAAATTTTGAACACTAACCAAACATTTGATAATAACAAATTATTCATTTTTTTCATTCCCCACGCCAACTTTTTGAAAAATGACAAACTTACAAAGTAGTTGTCAGAATAGTATAATGAACACTCCGATGCCCTTTACTTAGTTTACCAACTGTTAATATATTACTATGTTTGCTTTATCTCTTCCTATGTATGGGTGTGTATGTGTATGTGTTTTTTCTTGGACAACTTGATAGTTACTTACAGACAATGAAATATTTTACCTGAAATATATCAGCAGTTATCTTCTCAGAATAAGGAATTCTCCCACATAACTACTATATAATTATCAGGAAAATTATAGAAGTATTCAGGAAATTTAACATTAATACAATGTAATAATAATTATCTAAATAAGTCCAAATTTCAAATTTCTCCAATTGTTCTAACAATATCCTATATAAATTGTTCTTATTTTGACCTAGGATCTAAAGAAGGATCACACATTACTTTTGGGTATCGTGCCTCTGTAATTTCCTTAGTCCAAAATAGTTCTGCCAACTTATTTTTATCTTTCATGAGGCTGCCATTTAGTGACTTTTTAAGATATGCTACATGGTCATTAAAAAAAAAGAGACTCATCCTTTAAGAATACTGAAATATTTACAGATAAATTAGGATACTGCTGGTGATTTGTTTCAAAATAATACCAGAAGAGAGGTAAGTAGATGGGAATAGAAGAAATAAAATTGGCTATTAGTTAGCAATTGGTGAAGCTGATGATGGATACATGGAAGTTCATTCTGTCTACTTTTCAGTATGTTAAAATTTTTCTGTAGTAAAACGTTAAAAAAAAAGACTCCTAGGAAAATGATTTTGTACTATATTATTACCACTCTGTGGAACACTTTTAAGTTAAATGTAGCAAACAGAACTTGTAAGTTTCATGCCACAGTTCTACATGGTGAAAAGTTTAACTGGGCATCATTCTAGTGAGCAGGGTTTAATTTGAACTCACAGATATATAAAAGTATAAAAACAGTGTTTTAAGAAACAGTGAAGGCCAGGCACAGTGGCTCACGCCTCTAATCCCAGCACTTTGGAAGGCCAATGAGGGAGGATCACTTGGGCCCAGCAGTTCAAGACTAGCCTGGGCAACATAGTGAGACTTTGCCTATACAAAAAATCAAAAAATTAGCAGGCATAGTGGTACGTGCCTATAGTCCCAGCTACCTGAAGCCAGGAGTTTGAGACTGCAGTGAGCTATGATTGCGCCACTGTACTCCAGCCTGGGTGATAGAGCTAGACCCTGTCTCTAAATGAATGAATGAGTGAACAAATAAAATAATCGGTGATGGACTCAAATTAAAATTCTAACTTATACATATATTATCTACCAGTTACATTTTTATATTCCCAAAATATTTATATCAAGCAAATTACAGACAATGCTTCTATTCAAAGTTTCTATTGGCTTAGTTTTTTTCTTTTTCTGTTTTTTAAGAGACAGGGTCTTGCCATGTTGCCCAGGCTGGACTTGAAATCCTGGGCTCAAGCGATCCTCCAACCTTAGCCTCTCCAGTAGCTAGGACTATAGGCACACCCCACCATATCCAGCTTGGCTTAGTTCTTAAAAAAAAAAAAAATTAACAACTTTATTGAGATATAATTTACACACTATTAAATTCACCCTTTAAAAGTGTACAATTCAATGAATTTTAGTATATTTACAAAGTTGTGCAACCATCGCCACTATCTAATTTCAGAACATTTTCATCACCCCAAAAAGAAACCTGTACCAATTAAAGGTCACTCCCCATTTCATCTCTTCTCCAACCTCTGGCAACCATTAATCTACTTTATGTTTCTATAGATTTCCCTGCTTCACATAAAAGGAATCACATAATATATGGATGGCCTTTTGTGGCTGGCTTCTTCCACTTAGCATAATGTTTTCAATGAAAATACATTTTATTTATCCATTCAAATGGATATTTGGGTTGTTTCCAATTTGGGGTTTTTATCTCAAAAAATTTTATACTGTTTTCTTTTTTTTCACAGCTTATTTTTCAAATCAAATCCAAATAAGCTTCATACATAGCAATTAATTTATACGTTGAACTATCTTAATCAACAGGTCCCATCTATAGGCTCCTTCTTCACCTCCTTCCTTTTTAATTTATTTGCTGAAGAAACAGAATTGGTTGCCATGTAGTTTTCCAGTCTTGATTTGGCTTATTATATTCCCACAGTGTCATTTAATGTTCCTTTGTCCCTGGTATTTCCTATAAATCAGTAATTAAATCTAGAAGCACAATCACCTTCACATTTGTTTTGGCAAGAACACTTCACAGATGGTATTGTCATCACAGATTTTTTGATATGTGAAGATCAGAACTACTAATATATAAATATTCTAGGTGCACATGTGCTTTTGCGGCAATAGTAGTCTAATATTTCCATTCTCTAGTTCTTTCTTCATGAGGTTTTTGGCCTGTCTGGCTACCACAGTTCATTGGATAGATGTCTTCAGGGAACACTAACAGCATATTACCCTGTGCTTGAACCATACAGAAACTTATCTGTCATTCTCCCACCCACCACATTGCTCTGAAACAATTTTCTCAAGTTAATCACCATTAGCTTGACACTTTACAACTTAGAAGACGTTCAAAGTTACCAAAAATCATGAGGACTTAACTCTGCATTCTCTCCATCACACTGATGTCAGAGAAACATGTATAATATACTTAATCCAGAGAATTATCTATCTATTCCTATGCTTTAACTCACATCTCTAAGCTAGTGTGCTCACAAAGCAAAACAGTACACTCTATCCAACCAGGTACGATTCACCCAATTTTTAGGACAGACTTTGACAAAGTCACTGAAAATCTAAACAGATCAAAGTCACCTTTTTTTATACATTTACAATTCCAACTATAATGCCTGATTTACCCCTTTTAAGTTACCTTTTCCTGAATGACTCATACTATAGTATTAATAGTAATGCTATATACAATGGCACCTGTGATTCTGGAGCCTTTAAAACAACTTTGAACTTAAATATGTTACAAAGGAGTTCATTCTTACTGAACAATTGAAGTAACAAGTTAGGACAAGTCAACTTGAGTCAAAAATGTTACATGCAAATAAAATTTTAAGCTCATATTTAACTCTAAATGCCAACTATGCAAAAAATGCTTTGAAATATTTTTTATGACCAAATTAACACAGCATTTGCTTTTAGAGTTTTAAAAAGTATTCACTTAATTTTCTTCAGACCACCATTCTGAATAACAAATCCCTACTTAATAACTTTTCCTCATAAACCTATTATGAGTATTATTACATGTGCTTCATATTTAAATAACTTTTATTTATAAAATATTTTTATTGTAATTGAAGACGATCTCCACTTGGTTGCTAATCTGACTCAAATTTGTGTACTACAGAGTCCTCTTGTGAAATAAATGAAAAATAAAAGTAAAATACCTTAAAATGTCCCGTGCCTTCATTAGCACTGAAAAATGAGAGCAAAATTAATCAATATTTAATATTTTAAACTACATGTTTAATCATAAAACAACATAAAAATAACATAAATATTTGAGAAACATCAATTCATACCTAAACCTTTACAAAATAAATAAATGTAACTGTTTCTGCCACCTAGTGGTAAGGCAAAGGCAGTTTTATCCAGTATTTTACACTACTTTTCATACTTAATTTCAGAAGTGAAAAGTATACATTTTTTTTGATGCAAAACATATCAGGATTTATTTCTTTTCTCCAGCTTTATTAAGGTGTAACTGACAAATAAAAGTTGTATATATTTATAGAACACAATGGGATATTTGATATAATATGTATACGTTGTGAAATGATTAAAGAAATAACTAAACCAAGCAAATTAACATATCCATCACCTCACATACTTATTTTTTTGTAGTAAGAACATTTATGATCCACTCTCTTAGCAATTTTCAAGTTATACAATACATTATTATTAACTGTGGTCACCACATTATACAATAGATCCCCAGGAAAAAAGTATATTCTTAATATTTAGATTTCCCCCTATTTAGCATTTTAACATTTTCCAGCTTAAAGTACAATTTCCTTTTTTAGTTTAAATCATAATTAATGCGATTTTTTTCCCTTTACAAGATAAAATTTCTTACAAGAAGGCTGCTACACTTCCTATTGTTTTCCCTGCAGCATAATTACCTGGGCATGATTTTACTCAGTTTGCCTTTCACCTAGAAGCCCAAAGAGATCTACTGATTAAATCTAAATTAATTACTTTTAAGTCATGAGGGAGACAAGGGGCACTAACTTTTGTTGAGAATCTACCATGTACCAGATATTCTATTAGGTCTTCATATATTATGCATGTTTTTCATTTACTCCTCACGGATACCCTGGAAATCAGGTATTGGTATCCCTGTGCTGCAGATGAGGAAAATTAAACACAAAGTGGTTTAGTAACTTGCTTCAGGTTACACAGAGCTATTAAGTGATAAAGCTAGAATTCAAACTCAGGTACACCCAGTATCAAAGCCCATCTTCTTTCTTCCTTATCATGTTGTAAAGAACAGGTGAGATTACAATTGCATCATCTCTAGAGTATTCTTTGTAATAAAAATATAGAGCTATATAAATACAATATATAATTTAGGCACTATAAATATATAATTTATATAAGTATACAACCATAAATTATATATTACAAATAAACAGAATTATATTTATAAATGTAAGATATACATATATTAAATATACACATAAATACAATTCTAAGATTATAACATAATCTTATAAAGCTTCCCATTCATTACAATAATGATCTCTGTAGAATATACGGTGAATGGACATCTGACTTCTGCCTGAATATCTAAAGAGAGAGCTTCTTAATTGACAAGTCAGCCCATTCTCTTTGTGAGCAATGTTGTTAGAAATTACTTGCTTGTATGTAGCTTATACCTAGTAGTCATAGTTCTGCCTTTAGGTATTGTTAATTAGACCAATTTTTCTTTTATGTGGCAACCCTCTAAAGATTTAAAACTAACTTGAGGGACTTACTGCTTTTTTTTTTTTGGACAAAATATTTTTGTTCCACTACCACATATGTTTTCAAACCTTAACTATTATACCTCAGTTTACCAACATCTCTCTTAAAATGTGGTACCCAGAGCTGAACACAATACTCTAGTTGGACTAAGGCAGCATACAGTGGGATACTGCCTCCTTGGTTTACTAAACACCACTGAGCTTAAAATTGCAAAAAATTTTTACCTTATCACACTCATGTGAGTCCATTTTCTTCAGTGTGCAAATGTTGTACATATTAGAGCACCATGGATCACTTTAACCTTTATTTTTGAATGACCTTGCATTACTTTGATATTCACATATTGGTAACAGTTTAGACGTGTTATGAATATCATATTGTTTTACAACAATCCTGTGAGTTGCTACTACAACCCCCAGTTTAGAAATACAAAAACTGATGATCAGATCAGAGAAGTTAAGTTACATCCTAAGGGTTATACCCCTTGAGTTAGACTCTTCAAAAACTATGCTCTTTTTATGCACCATATTGCCTGTCTTATTTCTTTTTATGATTTTTTTTTGCTATGTTGCCCAGGCTGGACTTGAACTCCTGGGCTCAAGCAATCCTCCTACCTCAGCCTCCCAAGTAACTAGGACTATAGGTGCACACCATTGTGCCCAGCTATCTTTTTATAATATACTTTACATATAGAAACTATAGAACAAAAAGGATAAGAGACTACCTTAAGATCACAAAACATGCACAACCAATCTAGACATGAAATCTAATTTCATATTCCAGTGGTTAAAAAAAATTACTGTGCACAGGCTGAACCTACCTCAGTGTTTTTTCTCCTTTAATTCAAGCAGGGTCAACAGCTGGAGCAAATTTGTCCTTGTGCTTGCATCAGGCTAAAACTCATCTGCCCCTTGTCCTGTTATGAAAGAGCTTCCCATGGGTTACCCCTAGTAGCCTGACTTTTGTGGCATCACAAAAGCTTTTCCACATTGTGAAAACTTGGGGATTTAACCCTAGGAACTGGTGACTTCAAAAGGACTCCTTGCCACTAGAAGCTTCTTCCCCGTTACCCATTTAAAAACATGTAAAGGTTTTGCATATGGAGTTGGGAGGAAATAAAAACATAAAAAGGACTATATTATAAGGTAGACAGAATACCCACCATAATCAATAATGTGTAAGGTTCAATGTTCTCATTTTACAGATATGGAAGCTGAAGCTCTAAGAAGTTAAAATTGAAAGTTCATGAGGACAAGGACCACACTGACTTATTCAAACTATATTTCCAGCACCTAGTAGTGTTGTGCTGGTACACAGTAGGACCTTAATATACATCCTATGAGTGAACAAAAAATGATTTGTTCAAGGTTACAAAGCTAGAAAACAGCAGAGCTAGGACTTAAATCCAGATTATTTTATTTCAAGTCAGGCTTTGTTCGTCTACAGCAGGGAATGTGTTAATAACGTAACAACTTTGATAACTGGTAATGCCTGCCTTGAAGAACGTGGTCAAGTCTCCCTCATTAGGAAAGCCTGCCATGATTAATTATTGATTTCTGTGGTGAGTAAAGAAAGAGGAAATGGGCCGGGTGCGGTGGCTCACGCCTGTAATCCTAGCACTCTGGGAGGCCGAGGCGGGCGGATTGTTTGAGCTCAGGAGTTCGAAACCAGCCTGAGCAAGAGCGAGACCCCATCTCTACTAAAAATAGAAAGAAATTAATTGGACAACTAAAAATATATAGGAAAAAATTAGCCGGGCATGGTGGCACATGCCTGTAGTCCCAGCTACTCGGGAGACTGAGGCAGAAGGATCGCTTGAGCCCAGGAGTTTGAGGTTGCTATGAGCTAGGCTGACGCCACGGCACTCTAGCCTGGACAACACAGTGAGACTGTCTCAAAAAAAAAAAAAAAAAAAGAGGAAATGGTGGCACACCCACCACATATATGCCATCCTTGCATTACAATATGCCACTTTTCCAAAAAGGTAGAAAAAACTGATTCCAAGTTCCCATTGTACATTAGTGGAAAATGTTACATTTCCTCAAAATAATTTTTTTAGAAATATAAATTCCTCTCGATTTTCAAATTTGAATTAACTAGTCATTGAAAGTCACATGGTCACATGTAAAAATTCAAACAATGAAAAGTAAGACTTTTTCCTATCCTAGACTCAAATTCCAGTGCCCTTTCCTAGGAACAATCACCATTAATATTTTCTTATATATTCTTTCAGGAATGGTCCATGCCCATAAAAAAACATATGTATATGCATATATTTTCCACCACCCTCTTTTTAAAAGACATAAGTGGGAACATGGTACATGTGCCTTGCTCTTCTGCACCTTGCTTTTTCCATTTAACACATCTTGGAGATTGTTCCACATTGGCACACACGTTACTATATTAGCACATATTCATGTATGGATGTACTGTTATTTAACCAATTCCCTTATGAATAATTTAAATTGTAACACACTCTTTAATAACAGAAACTGCTGAATTAAGTTTTGGAATTACATGGTTTCTTCTAATTTCTCCAAAGGGATCTTTATTTCCTTATCATCAACCACTACTATGGGTTTGTGGAGGCATAAGAAAGGTTTCCTGCCTCTTTGAGGGTTCTTAATACCAGTTGAGAATACAAGATGAATATATATAAAGAGAAATACTATATAGCACAAGTTAGATACTAAATAAATGATATTGACAGAGTTATAAGGAGGAAATGATTGAGAAGTAAAATAGTCATCAGTAACACAAAGTGGGAAATCTAGGTTTTTCCATGAAAAGAAAGTTTATTATTCATTAGTCTATTCTGTAAGGTAAGTATTTGAAAACTACAGTCTGCCAACTCTGTGACCATGGTAGTTTGTTGAACAATGTTGCGCTATAATGGAGGATACCATATGCTACAGTGGATGAATTTGAATTAGAAAGATACCCAACTACTTTGGAATACAATTTGGCAAAACCAAGTAAAGTTGAAGACGAACATATCCTAAGACTCAGCAAATCTACACCCTTCGAGAACTGTCTCACATATACACAAGGAGATACGTACAAATACATTTATAGCAAAAAAGAAAAGATATATTCATTTAATGGAATATCAGGCAATGGTGAAGATGAATGAACTAGAGCTACACATTTCAACATGGATGAATCACACAATGTTGAGTGAAAAAAGCAAGTTGGAAAACACTTATGGTATACCACGTAAAGTTTTTAAGTTGGCAAAAACAATTCTACATATTGCTTAGGAATAGGTATACATACGGGAACCATATGAAAAAAAATATGTGAACGACAAACATTATTTTTAGGAGAGTGGTTATTAATCTCTGAGGGATGGGGAGTGAATAGAAGAGGTAGCAAAGGGCTTCAGTTATATTGGCAATAGTTTATTTCTTAAGTCAGGAGATGGGAATATCAGAGGTTACTATACTACTCTAAGTCTTAAATATTTCACAATTTTTAAAAGGATGTCAGGAAAATTTGATTTTACCCGAGTTCAGGATGATTTCATAACTGTCGAGTCTTTTTAAAAATTTTTATTTTAAGGTGAAAAGGTTGATTTTTAGAGTACTCACCCAATGAACTCCAATAATAAAGACATATCAAGTTCAGGTGGAATACGAAACACCGATTCTAGGACTTTCTTAGATCTTCCTTTGCTCGAAGGGACTGGCTGTGGAACAGCTATTCGATAGCCAAACAAAAAAGTTAATTTAGAATAAAAACTTTGTAAATTGAGATCTTCAAAAAAATAATTACATAGGTATTAAAATTATAAAAAAATTAAATTAAAAAATAAAAAAAAACTACTTAACTATTTAAAAGATCATAAAGCACACAATGTCCCTTTCTTTAATAATAACATCAGCTAACCTGTCAAACCCAGTAAAATTAAAGGCAAGCCTGGGGACCACTCTGCAACAGAAGACAGACATGTGTGGCTGGTTCATCAGGGCCACAGAGAGCTCATGAGAACAGCAACATTTGTAGATAACCCTGTATAAGCACTACTATGTGCCAGAGCTCATGCTTAGCACTTTACATGCATCATCGCATTTAATCCTTACCATATTCCCATGATATAGGTTATTACTCCTACTCTTTTTTTTTTTTTAAACTGATAAAGAAACTGGGACTTAGTGAGATTTGGCAATTTGTCTAAGGTCACCCAGGTAGTATAGTAAGTGGAAGAACCAGGATTTAAACCCAAATCTATCTGACTTCTATTCTGAGACATTATCATCATCATAAAAACAAATGTTTGAGCAGTTACTATGTGCCAGGCACTGTTTTAAGTGCTTGTATTACTTAATATATATACACATATATATTTTTTAAATGGAAGTGATATTATTATCACTATTTTATAGATGAGGAAACAGACATTGAAGTAATTTGCTGAAGTCCTACACCTAGCATACCTATTAACCTTAAAATAAAGTGGCAGAGCTAGGAACAAACTCCTAGCTCCAGAACCTACATGCTTTAATTCTTACGAACAAATAAATTGGATTAAAACACAGAATTACCTTCAAAATCTCTTTCTTTGATCATATAATGACCAGTTATCCCCAAAATGAACCTCAAAAGGCACAAATTTTATTGCTAGTATTCTTTAATTCTATAAATACATTATGGTATACACCCAAACTTACCAGGTTTAGGTACTTCTAGACCTCTTTCTTTATAGAAATCATGCATTTGCTTTTTTTCTCCTAAAAAATGATAAAACACAGACTAAATTACACTTAAAATGTAACTAGTAGAGTCAGAGATTCTGGGATTCACAACTACGTAAAAAAAGAAACTTACTTTCCTCTAGATTGATCACTAATTTGTACACTATGTCTTGTAACTGTCGGTCCAACCTAATAAAAGGAAAGGATGGAGAATACCTCAGAATTCAGAAAAATATATTTTTGTACAGTGGGTAAACTGTGCAAGTTAACTGAGTGAGTTAACAGAGTGAGTTAACTGTGTTTTCTCTTGGGAGTGGATATGGCCTTTCTCAGAGGTGAGTTATTTTTAGGTAGCACTAACAACCCCTAAAATTTAGCTCACCTAAGAGAACCACAAATAATTATATGTAATCATAAGTACTCATAGATTCTTGAATGGTTCACTAAATTGTTTTGCGTATATTAATCTTATTTCCTTCCTAAGAATATGAGCCCGAGGGCAGAGACTGTATTTTGAACTTCTGTGTATCACCTGCAAAGCACTCTTCTCTGAAGGTTGTAAAAACTTAATAGTACTTGAATAAATGAAAGTAATCTACTTTTAGTATTTTTCTTCTTTCTTCTCTTAAGAAACCGATAGTTATGGAGGATAGTCTGAAAAAAGGAAGGAAGGAAAGAAAGAAAGAAAGAAAAGAAAAGAAAAGAAAGAAACTGAGCATGAACTGAAAAATGTGATTAATATGCCACAATGACCTATGACAGATAGGCTTTACTAAAGAGGCCATTTGTTTCAGGTATTACTCCTTAAAAAAAAAAAATCCTGAATACCTGTATACTGAAAACAACACATCTAAACTAGCCTCATTAACTTGAGTGACGGAATTAAAATTCTCAAGAAAAGAGGCCTGTACCTCTTTTTTTTAAGTCCCCAGCAGATATCACAGTGCCTGGTATATAGTAAGTGCTCTATACGTATTCCTTAAAAGAATATGTAGTTCCCTCTCTTCTAATTTTGAGGAAGGTCCAGAATTTATTCCAACTAAACAACTTCAAGCTTTCAGAAAAAGCATACTTAAAACACAACTGTTACTCATATATTCCTCTTACCTTATGTTATAAAGAGGTTGTGTCTGATGTACTACTATGTTGCATTTGGGACATCTGTTGCTATAGTAAAAATGTCTTACAATGCAGCTTTTACAAACTGTTGAAAAAGAAAATGTTGAAATTAGGATGCTTTCAAGACATTTCAAAATTGAAAATATTCAGAAATGTGAACTGTATGCTTACAGGTATGAAGACATTCTGTAATGGTAGTTGCATCTATTAAGTAACCTTTGCAAATGGAACACAAGATGTACGGGGTCAGCTCAGAGAGATTAATCAGGCGCTGCGAATGCAATTGAAATAGTTTTAAAATACAAGTTCCTGCCTTCCAACTCTTAAACCCTATCTCAAAGTTTCATTATAAACAATGCGTAAGTTAAATCCAACATGGAAACATAATTCCAACCCTTCAAAATACTGCTGAAAGTTACAGTAACACAATATAAACCAACGTTTCAAATGGATTTCATTCTCTTGGCTATACGGTATATTGCCAGAGGAGATGCATGTTACTTTATGAATTACTTACAAAATGGGCAAACTTTCCAGATACTGGTGTTCAAGGTTTTTTTTTCCGAGATAGGGTCTTCTTCTGTTGCTTGGGCTGGAGTGCAGTGGCGTCATAGTTCACTGCAATCTCTAACTCCTGGCCTCAAGGGATCCTCCTGCATCAGCTTCCTGGGTAGCTGGGACACAGGCACGTGCCACCACACCCAGCAAATTTTTGTATTTTTTGTACAACCAGGTCTCCCTATGGTACTCAGGCTGTAGTTTCGAACTCCTGGCCTCCAGCGATCCTCCTGTCTCAGCCTCCCAAAGTGCTAAGATTACAGGCGTGACCCTCTGCGCCCAGCCTGGCGGTCAAGCTTAATAAATTAATTCTGACTGGCCAGGGATATTACCTAAACTGATGAAGAATGCGCTACCACATTAAAAAAAAAAAAAATCTTTGCAATTAAGACTGAGCAGGTGGGGGAGGTCAGCACTCTCTCAGCACCCTGTAGAAAGTGACTATTTCTCCCTTTTGACCGTAAGCTCCTGCACGGTACCCTAGGCGCCTAACCCGCCTGACAGTCAGTACCCCTAATAATTATTTACAGAATGAATGAGTGGGACCCGAAGAGCCTAAGTGACTGGCAGGAGCCTCACAAAACAAGTCGGCAGAAAATCGGGCCGGGACAGGGGCCCGTCCGCGGCACACGCGGAGCCTCGCGCGCAGGGAGAGGCGCGATCCACGCCGGCGCCCAGGACTGCGGCGGCGCGCTGAGGGTCGCCCGGGCCCGACCGCCGAGGCCCGGCCTGGTCCGCCGGGGGCTCTAAGTACCTCCTCCTCGTCCTCCGAGTCCGGCCGGCCCCCCTCCAGCCTCAGCGAGAAGTGGCTCATCTCTTCCTCCTCCTCTTCCTCCTCCTCCTCCAACTCTTCATCTTCTTCCAACTCCTCGTCCTCGTACTCGAAGCGGCCTCGCAAGCGGCCCAGGCCGCGCTCAGGCTCCAGCTCGGGGGGTCGGGAGCCCGAGCAGCCGGGAGCCCCCACCTCAAGCAGAGGCGCCGGGCCCTCTTCGCCGGCGGCGGGAGCGGGGGTGAGCGCGGGCGGGGATCCGGGGGGCGGGGGCGGCACGGCTGCGGCTCCCTCGGCCTTGGCGGCGCCCGCGTTGCCCGCCGCCGCCGCCACGACCCCGTCCATGGTCCCAGAGAGGCGAGGCGCGGCGCGGCTGCTGGAGAGCGCGGGATTCGGCCTCCCTCCCTCGCGGCGGGCGCGCAGGCGCAGAAGGCCAGCAGGGCCGCCGGGAAGTGTGGTTCGGGCCTCGCCGGGCCGGGGCGGGGCGGGGCCGGGCTGCCCAGGTGTGCGGGGCGCAGCTTGCGGCCGCACCTTAACGCAAGCGCACTCCACTCTCCCTTTGAAAAGCTGGACGCTGTCTTCACCGCCCTTTAGAAACAACGAAATTGGTACCGTTTCAGGCAACGATATTCTGTTTGCATCAACTTATTCACAGAGCCCTGAACTAGGTGCCATATGACTTTACATTACGAATAATGATGATTTCCATTTGAGTACCAAGGATGCATTCAGTCTGTGGCAAATCAGCTCCATCCAAGATTATTTCCGTTAGGAAGTATAACATGAAGTTCTGTTTTGAAATATGTAAGTTTATTTATCTTGAGGAATCATATTGTATTGACGCGGGATGGAAATCTAATCACTATTCGAAGACCGTCCGTGATACCCCATCACATAAAGAAAAGTCAATTATATTTAATTCAACAAACATTTATTGGGGATTTACTGTAGACGGAACGGAGACCTACCCACGCTCATCCCACCCGCCCCTAATTGTATTAGGAAAGAGGTTTGGGGTTGGCTTATATTACCCTTGCTGACTAAGATAAAGCCAACCAATGTCATGATGCCTGCAAGCCAGATTCAGGAAGTCAAATGCTCCCTAACAAAATGATGCTGGGGGCAAAGTCACATCTGAGAGAAGAATATGTTGTTACTGAACAAAATTAATGCTAATTTGGGAGTGGCGTACGTACTTCCTAGGGAACTGATGAGTTAGCCAAGACACTTGTGCTTGCTTGAGGAAAATTGAATCAGATTGGATATATCTATTGCTCCTGGGACCAGACCCCCACCTCTCCCTTTGCAGTACCAAAGTCTTTTCAAGCTTCAGATACTAAAGTGTAGATTTCAGAGGATTAGGAATGGGAACTTGATTATGATATTGAAAGAGGATGACTGAAGAGAGAGAGAGAGAGAGAGAAATTGAAAGAGAAAGACCTAATACACGTGATATTCTCCTTATAAAGACCTAAGTATGTAAGAGCCTCGTCATAATTACATTAGATAAAATCATAGCTTCTAACTTTTCCACATTGTAACAGCTACCCAGTTATTCAAACACTAACCTAGGTGTTGCTGTGAAGATATTTTGTAGATGATCAGTTAACTTCAAGCAAAAGAGATTATCTTTGATAATCTGAGTGGGCATTATCCAATCAGTTGAAAAACCTTAAAAGCAAAACAGGTTTCCCTGAGGAAGAAGAAATTTCTCAGGTGGACTGCCCAGAAGTTTCCAGCCTGTTAGCATGCCCTATAGATTTTGGACTTGTCCAGCCAGTTGCCATGATCTTGTAAGGAAATTCTTTGCAAAAAAAATCTCTCTCTCTCTCTCTCTCTCTCTCTCTCTCTCTCTCTCGCTCTATCACTCACATACACAAACACGCACACATACTATATAATTCAACTTATATGAGGTACCTAGGGTACTCAAATTCATAGAGACAGAAAGTAGAATGGTGGCTGTCAGGGGCTGGGGAGAGGGAGAATGGAGAATTTCTGTTTAATGCATATAGAGTTTCAGTTTGGGAAGATAGTAAACGGTAAATTTTATGTTTTATATACATCATACCCCAATACAAAAATAATACACACTCAGCTGGGTGTGGTGGCTCATGCCTGTAATCCCAGCATTTTGGGAGGCCGAGGTGGGAGAATTGCTTGAGTCCAGGAGTTCAAGACCAGTCTGGGCAACATATTGAGATCCCATCTCTACAAAAAATAGAAAAATCAGCCGGTTGTGGTGGCACATGCCCATAGTCCCGGCTACTCAGGAGGTTGAGGCAGGAGGATTACTTGAGACCAGGAGTTTGAGGTTGCAGTGAGCTATGATCTGGCCACTGCACTGCAGCCCGCGTGACAGAGTGAGAGCCCGTCTCTTAAAAAAAAACCAGTAATACATACTTACTATAAAGAACTAAAACAACCCTAGGCAACATAGTGAGACCCCCATCTCTACATAAAATAAGAAAAATTAGCCCAATGTGGTGGTGTGTACCTGTAGTCCCAGCTGCTTGGGAGGCTGAGGCGGGAGGATTGCTTGAGCCCAGGTGTCTGAGACTGCAGTGAGCTATGACTGAACCACTGCACAGTAGCCTAGGTGACAGAGCAAGACCTTGTCCCTAAAAACAAACAAAAAACCCTGCACATCAAAAAAAGTCTATTTTACTATATATAAATAATAATAATAATAAACCACACTGAGATATCATTTCTCACCTATCAGAATAGCAAATATTTAAAAAGTAACAGCACACTCTGTTGATGAGGCTGTGAGGAAATAGTCACTCTTGTACATTGCTGATAGTATTGCAAATTGATGCAAACTTCATCAAGGCGAATTTGACAAATGGGAAAACAAAATGTGCATTTATCTTTTGACTTAGCAATCGCTCTTCAAGGAATTTATTCTGTAGATAAAATCCAACAATACAAAAATACATAAGATCATACAATAAACAAAAGATTATTTACTGTATTATTGTTTGTAATTACACAATATTTGGGAACTAAATGCCTATACAGAGGAGAGTAGCTGAATAAACAATTGAACATCCCAAGATGAACTACTATGTAACTCTGAAAAAAAAAAAAAAAGATGAGGAATTTCTCTAAAAACTATTGTGAAGTGATTTACAGGATATATTGTTAAGTGAAAAAAAAAAGCGAAGTACAAAAGAGTATGTATAGTATGCCACCTTTTGTTTAAGAAAGAAGAAAATAGACATATATTATATCTGCATTTGAACAAGAAACACAGAAAGGATAAACCAGAGACTAATGAGATTAGTTACCCTCTGGGTGTGATTGGAATGGGATGGAAAAAGGACAGAGAGAATGGATATGACATTTTTCTGAATATATCTTTTTGTATATAGTCCTGGCTTTCCCATTAAAAAAAAAAAACAAGGATGGGGGAATCTTCTAAAACTGAATGCAAAGAGAAATAAATGAATCAAACCATACTTAAAATGAATAAGATAACCACTGCCAAGGGGCGTAGGGGAAATTAACCCAAATTACTTTTGAGCACAGGATTTGGACTACATACTCTCAGGCTAAAGACAAAAGCACAGAAAGTTCTTGCTTTGCTTAGTTCCGATATACATGAATTTCAATTACAGTTACAGTTTAATTAAATAACATCAGTCCCCCAATAACACAAATTTCAGTAATCACAGTATATTAATTATGGGTGATTACATAAAGTATAAATTTTGCAACCAGCTCTTCAGTCCACAATCTCTAAGTGAACAACAGAAACACAACCTAATCAGTAATCATCATTTCACTTCTTTCAAAGTCAGCTAGTGATTGGTCAGCACACTTATGTTATTCAGTTGTAGTTGTCTTTTCTCCTTGTCTGTCAGTGATAAACTCACATGACATTTTATAAAAATGAATAATCAGAAGAAGGGATTGGCCAAAAAAAATGAAAGTATAGGAAAGAGAGGAAAAGTGATAACATTGGAAGTGAAATTCCAATAGCCTGTAAATGGAGTTAGTAAAGACAAACTTATGGACATAAATGAGGAAATTGGTTGGGATGAAAAGGATAAAGGTGTCCTAGAAGAAGTGTTGCCAGCAAAAACCTTCACATTAAAGAAGCTCTCAGAGACATTTCACATCGAAAGCGTAAAAGATAAAATTTTAGAAGGTGATCCAAACTAAGAAAGGAGTATGACAATTTGCCAAGGCACAGAGAAGATGCTCTTACTCTATGGTAAGTTATATGAGAAGAAGGCAAGCACTTTTCAAACTATTCTTGATGAGTTTTTAACAAAGAAACAAAGCACTTTAATCCTCAATGTTTCTAATGTTTTAAGTTACAGTACCAAATAAATATTAGTTTTACTATGTTTTTCATCTCTATACATTTATAACCAACAATAATTGAGTGTTTAATATTTTGACATTTTTAAAGGTCATGGAAAAATCATAATGTTTCCCATTGATTATTAAGATCACTTTGCATGGTTTCAACTTGCACAGTTATTCGTATAGTCCCACACTACTGTGCAAGACAAGAACTGCCAACATTCTAAAAATTATTGAACTCTAATCAGTAGTAGGCTTCTTTTTTGAAGAGACATGGGTAAGCAATTCTGAAGCTACTTTCTGTACATTCTAAGACTGAGCGAGTAAGTAAGTATATTGTGAACAATGGAAGCCAGATTTCTCATTGTTGGAATATGGAGAAGGGAATGGATAAAATAAACTCTGCTTCACTGGATTGGAATCAGAAGTATTCAAGGTGAATTTAGGGATAGATGGGTAAATGGATTTAGATGTATATAAATCAGCTCTATCCACTGAAAGGGCCTATAGGCAATTACCCACATAGCACCCTGATCTTGATTTCTAATACCATTAGAAGGAACTAGGATTCCTTGGAGAAATGGCTGATTCCAGGTCTGAGACAGGGACAAAACAAAGGAAGCCTACAATGTCTCATTGTGCTAGAAAGTAAAGAAATGCTCAAAAAATGATGGGGCTGTCAAAAAGACACAGGAGCCAGTTTGATGGAGCTCCTAATGGTCAAACTTGTGACAAACTGAATAGCAAAATAAAAATGATGATAGGCCGGGCGCGGTGGCTCACGCCTGTAATCCTAGCTCTCTGGGAGGCCGAGGCGGGCGGATTGTTTGAGCTCAGGAGTTCGAAACCAGCCTGAGCAAGAGCAAGACCCCGTCTCTACTAAAAATAGAAAGAAATTAATCAGACAACTAAAAATATATAGAAAAAATTAGCCGGGCATGGTGGTGCATGCCTGTGGTACCAGCTACTCGGGAGGCTCGGGCAGTAGGATCACTTGAGCCCAGGAGTTTGAGGTTGCTGTGAGCTAG